GACCAACACCCCCAGGTCCTTTTCCACTGGGCACCTTTCCAGCCACCCTTCCCCAAGTATGTGGCACTGCATGGGGTTGTTGTGACCCAAGTGCACGACCTGGCACTTGGCCTTGTTGAACCTCATAAAATTGGCCTCAGCCCATTGATCCAGCCTGTCCAGATCCCTCTGTAGAGCCATCCTACCCTCAAGCAGACCAACACTCCTGCCCAATCAATATGAAGTATTAGCTGCACCTGTATTGAATTTATCCTATCACCTGTTGCTCACTTCAGAATACCCACTGAGATCACATACAAAACATCAGTACAAAGGGCAAAGTCATATCACGTAGAGTTTTAACTGCACTACTTCATCCTGTTCTTAGTTTTACGTGTTTGAGAAATCAGAGTAAATGACTACTTAATACAATAATGTGCCCCTTTAAAATATTCTGTATTTGACACAGAATAAATCTTATTTAATATGCTCTCCAAACACTGTTTTTAATCTCTCATATGCAAAAAGAAAACTCTTCAATATAGCTTTCTCCTACAGTTCATGAGTGAAAGCCATCATTTCCATTCATACTCTTTTCCTTGAAGCGTACATCACCATGAAGCTTTTGTGACAGTTAAGTTTTTAAAATAACCCATGTACTTTTATTCACCTTATTTCTCTGATGAGAGACCTCACAGCAAGGATGGAATAACAATATGGAAACTAACCATCTAATCCAACTGAACACACTTTATTGAACTGTTATTACTTCCATGTGTAATAGGAAACTAAAGCCAACTGCAATCCCTAATTTTTGGCATTCCCAGTATGCATTGTATCCAGCAAAAGTGAACTTCACTTTTCATCTTTATTTTTACTGCACAGTGATATTAGACATATGGACTTAACTTGATCATTTAGAGATCAAGTGTGTTAACTGAGTAAAAAGCAAGGTCCTTATTATGCCTAAAGCAATACTGCTCTTTAAAAATTTGTAACGCTTTATAAATATTATTCTAATCTCTTTTGCAGTATGAATATTCTTTAAAATAACTGGTATGAAAATTTTAGTGCAGATGATAAAATCTTCCAGAATGGATATAAAGAGTAATAACAATATAGTTATAACACAGATTCAAGCAAACAATTTATATGACAGAAACTTGCTATGGATAAATTCAATGCCAAAGAGTTATATTCCAATTTATTCTGAGGTAGTATGTGTGATAAATTAACTAATAATTCTCAAGATACAAAACCTAGTTTCCTAAAAAATATGGCTATAAAATTATGAGCTACTATCATGACAAATACTTGCATTCAATATCGACGGAAATAAATAGTCCTTTATTAAAGCATTCTAAACTTTGTTTTCTAAATAAGTGATATTTTTCAAGATACATCTCTGATATGAAAAACAATCCCAAGATGGATCAATCAGGTAAGTACCTTTCTTAGTGGAGGTCTGAGGAGATTACAAACTCATTTTGTAGTTTCAGCAACATCTTGAACATTCCATGCAATGAATCTTCCAGTAATATTTACTGATCAGATTTTTCTTTTCAATTCCCTTTTCTCTCCAACACATATGCTTTCCTTTGTTATGCCAGTAAATTATGAGATTGCTACACGGCTTAGAATACTGTTCTCCCCAAGAGCTAATAATAACACAAGACACTAAAGACAGGCTCTTTTGGTTTAGTTTACTTCACATTTTTGTAAAAATTTAAGGAAAGTCATCACTTTCACCATTCACGGTTGCCAGTACCTCATGACTTTACTAGACCTATATTAATCAGAGGCTACCTATAAAAGAGGGGAGGAGGAATTTTTTCCTTTTTTTTTTCCTTCTTTTTCTTTATTGATTACATGGGTTCAATTTGAGAACAGATAAATTCATGCAAGAAAAGTTATCAGTTAATTAGAGCAAGAAACTATACTGAACTGAGGAAACTTGTAATGTGAAAATAGATGGAGGCTGAAAGTCAAATACTAATTACTTAGAAAGATTATAAATATTTGGTTCTTAACAGAGGCTAAATTTTGGTAGAAAAAAAATGAATGAGCTTCACATACTAACATTAAAATTAATAGAATTAATCTTTCAAAGAAATTGCATCACAAAGCTCAAGAAACAGTTTTCTGACTCCTTATGCATATTTAATTCAAAACTACATTCCCAGAACAATTAACTCCATTCTTTCCTACAAAAAGGTAAATTCCCAAGCTTTAACTATTGCCTGTATGGCTTACATTTTGTGAATTTTAGAATCCCATTTCTGTTTAGTCCTATAATTTAACTACTCTAAGATTCTTAAATAGAATAATCAGAAAACGGTAATCTGCCAGTGATGGACACAATTAGTTTAGATGTTTCTATAAACCAGTATCACTGATGTGCATAGGAAAGAAATCAAGTTAAGGGGAAAATCTGTATGCAAGTATAGATATAAAACATGTCAGAAAGCTCAAAAGGACTTCCAAAAAATTTAAAGCCTAATGCTACAGACAACTGCTACTGATGCACATCTCAATCTTCCAAAGCTGTTGTGTGCAGATAAGCTCTACACATATGTGAGCATCACCACAACTATACATGAACCACTTCCACAGATTGTGTTCCTAATGAGGTCTCTGAACACAACGTTTATACCGTATTGCACCTGGGTGTTTTTTATGTGTCTGATATCAACATTCATAGAATGTATTTCTAAGAAGTTTGGGGGATAAGAAATATGAGAAAGGTAAAAAAAAGTATCTTAAAAATAGACCATACATATGGATTTTTCCTTTGCATCTGACAACGCATCCTCCCTGCTTTTCAGTGAAAGTTAGATCTTTTTAGCTTAGCTGATGCTATTATGCACAGTGCCTTGTAGGCACATGGTTTTCTCAGCTGCTCAGATAAAGTACCACAAGCACCCATAAAACAGAAATTTAATAAAAATGTAAAAAAGAGTAACTTTAAAATATGAAAAACTCAACTTTTAAAGTAGTAATAAATATTCTTTCTATAGGTAAACATATTCAGTCATGCAGAACACTTAAATACAAATAAACTGTGTACCTGAACTGTTGAACTGATTTCAGACGCAAATCCTCCTGTCAAGGGAGCCTCGTGGCTAATCAGCAATCGCCCAGTCTTCGCCACTGACTGAAAAGGAAAAACAAACCCCAAAAATGTAATCAAATTGCAGCTCTTCTGATTTCATACTTGTGCTACTTGTGGAATATATGAAATATGTAACATTATTAGCAGTGTTAGAATATAGCTACTTTCCCCCTCTTGCATTTTCACTGAAAGAAAAATCATCCTAAAAGTCTAAACTGAGTAATTAATAGGATGTTTTTATATTTACTATAAAAGTGTTTGCATCTTGTACTTCATTTTAAGCAAATATCAAGAATAAAAATTGATTCCACTGAATATGAATTTACCCTATCAATGCAAACTGTAACAATTCTGAAGGACAATAAGGATTTTCACAAGAAGTCAGGAAAAATTTGGATCCTGAAAATACTAAGACACACGTAAAGAAATAATTCACTGCTACATACTTCTGCACAACCAGGCCCTAGGTAAAGTCATGAAACATAGCTATTCAGAAAGTAAAACTGTTAAATAAAAGTTTTAGCAAGAAAATAATCATGTGGATTAATGCCGCTTATTTAAGTTTTACATGGCAATGACAAGCAACATTTTCTAATTTTAAATCTCAATGTTTGTGCAGTTTTTATGTGATCCACTTCATAAATAATTACATAGCACAACATATAGAGAAGGTGATGTAAGCATCTTTTAATCAAAAAAAACCAAACTGGGTTCATTGTGAAACACAACAATGAAAGCAAAATATTTTTAATCTGATGGGAGTATTAAGCTTCACCACACCCAAATATCTTGAAGTTTAATGAAACTACATACTAAAGTGCCAAGAATCAAACAGTATCAGATACCTTTGGTCAGAAATATGGCAGCGAAGTCTCATTTTTCATAATACACATTGTATAATCTCATAAGGTGCATTATAAAGTTTCACGAACTTTTAGAGATGCACATCAGAAAAAAATTTATCAGAATAATGAGCACCTTAATCTTTCAAGAACAGTTATAGCCTAATTTTTAAGATAAGTATATAGTGTACTGCTGGTGCACCATCAGTCACCAAGTGGAAAAGCCCAGGACAGTGCTAGCTATCAGATCAAACTTTTTTAATGCTTTGATCTTCAATTTAATGTCTACACCAGCACATTCTCCAGTTGGGCAGCTCCATGTTGTCTACATAACAGAATACATAAAGGCAATGCCTTATTTTTACAGTTTTCTTTCTAATTCAAGTACTTTATTAATTCTTTTGCTTTTCTAGGAACGACTCAATCAACGGCATTAAGGAGCTCATCCACAGATGGACTGGCAAGTCACAGCCCTATAAACAAGATGATCCATATACTGTACTATGAAGTGGTTTGACAACATTCAGAGCTAAACAAGACAGGAAAAGGCATTTCAACAGTTGGAAAGCAAAACACAGTTATGCAGGCTGATTTCTTGAATTTCTTTTGCCAGCACTGGAAACCCATATCTAAAGAGCTGAGGCATTAACTGCACTATAAATCTGCCCAATACATCAAAATGACAGCTCAATGAACAAAATGTACAGTCCAGTTTTAAGTTGATATAATACAACTGACACAATCAGTTTTAAGTTGCTATGGTAAAACTGATACAAGTAATCAATTTTAAAGGTGTTTTTGAAAATCCTCTTACTTTTCATTTAAACAAAAATTCTTTTGTGTATATTTGCTCTGAGATATTCACACTTTGAAACAGTACAAGCTATCATTAAAGTTATAGATTTGGTCTCTCAGAATTTAATAGTATGAAACAGACACTGTTAGAACACATATAAGAAAATCCAGCAGCCCAGTATCCTGTCTCCACAACGGAGACAATTTGATGTTTAGGAAAGAGTAAGAGTAGGGCCTTTAATGTGTTCCTTCGCTATTTCTCAGCCTCCAACTATTTTCACATCGCAGGTTTCCTGAGTCCAATATGGTTTCTTGCTCTAAGTAACTGGTAGCTTTTCTTGCATGAATTTATCTGTTCTCAAATTGGACCCATGCAAACAATAAAGAAAAAGAAAACAAGACGGAATAAAAAATATGGCATTTCGGAAACCTGCTTCTCCGATATGAGAAATCCTTATTTTTTAACATATGATTCCCAAGGGCTTTAAGGATTCCTTGCCTGTAGGAGCCTGTTAAGAGTGAGCAAGCAGCTGTGATCACCAAGCACTGCATACAAGCATGTCAGCCCTGCTAAATAGTACAACATATCACCCCTGGTGGGAAACCACACTAGCATAGCTTTAGTGCTTTTAGTACCTATCGTAGCTTGATCAGGGCCAGCACAGATACCTGCACCACACTATAACATTTAGAAATACCTTAAAAATTCTCCTAATGGTTAAACCAGAATCAAAATGAGCAGAAATTAACCATTACACTACGCTGCAAAGAGAGATCTGGACTTTTAGGAAGGAGGCGAATATTGTGATTTCTGAATATTACAGGATCCCCTGCATCAATTTCTACTTCAAATTTAATACTTGTTCCTAAGCTACAGTGAGTCTTTCAGAAAGCCATGCAATCTTAATTACGGTATTTCCAGTATTTGCAAATGCATCACAGCTATTGATTAAGTTGTTACAGTGTTTAACTGCCTTCCCTGTTAAAATTTTGCGCCTTATTTCCAAACTAATTTGGCTGACTTCAAGCTGTTGGTTCATATTTTACTTCTGTTTGCTCGATGGAGAAGCTATCTATTATCACATTTGTGCTCCCCACATGAATACGTTAAGATTGTGATCAAATGATCTCTTAACCACACTTTTGCTAAACTAAGCAGACGGAGCTCTAAATCTTTCACCATACAGCACACTTCCAATTCCTTCATCATTCTCACGACCCTACCCTGAATCATCTCCAGTTTTCAACGTCCTTCTTGAAGTACAACCAGCATTCCAGCCTTTTTCAGAACACCACTGAATAGGGAGGTAATATAACCTCAATATTGCAAGCTCTTGGATGTATGAGGCATTTTGGCCAAAGTGTAACAACATGAGTCCAGTTTCAACCGACGACTGCGTTTCCCTGTTCTTGGGAAAGAAGGATACTGCTTCTTGGAATAAAGATAGAAATGTAGTGTGCATTTATTATTTCAAGATACAAAACCATATTTGGATATGCTGAAAAATACATTGTGTGCCTGAACCTAGCTCAGTTAATAAACCTATCCTCTCTTTATCACTGATTGTCTATTTTATCTGTTTCTCTAGCTGTTTGTTACCTCTAACTTATCAGTAACAGTTTTAAATGTTTTCTGTATCTTTGATAGAAATATTAAAAAACAGGTTAAAAATCAGACTCTGTAGAATTTCAATGACTTTACTGTTTCCATTCACTAGCACTGCCTTTACATGACATACAGTTAAAGTCAATGCAGCACTAATGCCTTACTTCTCAACTACGTTAATTTGTTTCGTGAGCACTTCATTACAAATTCTTGATTGTATATTTCTAAGTTATTTCTCCCTACTTGCTTCTTCCTTGCTAATTTTTTCATAGTTCTATAGATTGTTCCTTCTAACTGATTTGGGACACAGTTTTGGGGGTTTTTGTTTGTTTGTTTGGGTTTTTTTGTCGAAAAACCGCTCCATAAGGTACAAGATTAATAAATTACTGGTAGAAAGATACTTTGGTTCATCAGACACATTGGGTCTCTGTATGCCCTCTTAATTTTAATTATTATATTATTTTTTCTGTCCTACAGATAACACTACTATCCAGTAATAACAGCAGCCAATAGCAACCAATGTGATTTTCTTAAAGAACTTTTTAAAATATGTATTACCACACAAAAATGTTTCAGATTACATAGCTTAGAAGAAAGTCATAGCCCATGATGAAAAAGTCCAACCTTTTCCAACATCAGTAGTGTTCTAGAATGGCTAACTAATTTAATTTCTCTATCTTCATGTGGAAATTCAATCTTATTTCCTGGAAGTAAAACGGCTAATCAGTTAAAAAGGAAAATTTCAAAAGTAACTTCTGTACAATGTATAGGGCACAGTGGACATTGTTAATGATTATTTTCAGAATATCGATGCTCTTCTCTAAAACTTTAACTTCATTTTTAAAATATACTGCAAAACATTAGTCCCTGTCAAATCAAATGAGGAAAGCATTCAACCTCCAGGATAACCAAAGCCCAACATTCACAAAATCATTTACAGCCCAAATAAATGCAGTATGGTAAAATCCAACCCTCGGTCCTCTCCCTTCAAACTTAACAGGAAATCCCACTGGCGTAAAACTGGAGAAGACAGTGGTTAAATCTCCACAGTGTAACAAATTGGCCAGCATAGAATCCTACCATTTTATCACCTTTTAAAAAAGTGGATAATTGGAGTGGTTTTGGTTTGGGTTTTTTTTTTGTTTGGTTTTTTTTTTGTTTTTTTATTTGGAGTAGCTAGAGAAAAGGCTGGCCTTTCAAGGACTGATGTATTTTTGTGCCCTCAATCATAGACTTGTTGCATTTCTATAAGGGCTTGATTCTCCTCCATTTCCCCAACATCCCCAACTCTGTCTTCCAAAACCCCGGTCTTTACACTTCTTACTTCAGTAAGAGATTAAAATTTTGAAACACGTGCACATTCTGCAGCTCACGTACATTACTTTTAAAAATGAGTCTTCATAAAGATAAGGTGCAGCTTAGGAGATTGGCACTGATAAAAACATTCCTTCTTTACATCCACGAACAGAAATTGTTGTTTGCTGATCTTTAAAAGTCCAAAGAGACTTCTGAGGGTACTAAGAGATTCTGTAGGTATCTCCTATCTCAAATTAAATGAAAACAGAAACTTTTTTTTGCTATCTTTAGAAACAGACCACAGAGGAAAGTCAGAGGCAACATCCAGGCATTTAGAGGGCATGGCTCCTCTTTGTCAGTCACTGCCCTTTCACAGCTGATGCAACCCTGGTTGCTCCCAGAAAGCAGAGGTCCCACCCTACCCAAAACCTCCTATTCCGAGCCCATCCCTGGCATCTCCTCAAGAACTGAAGGGGCCACAGGTAAGCCACTTGAAGGAAATA